TCTTCCGATGCTCTATCTGGTCTGTGGTCTTCAAGTCTAAAGATGAAGGAAAGCCGAAAGCGAGAGCGACGCAGAAACGATACCCTAGTTGAAAGAAAGTGGAGATTTTATAGCTCTTGTTCTAGTTTCGTACACGCGACCTCACATGATTCTGTCCCACGACAATTTTTTTATTTTTTTATTACGCCAGTTATTATACAATCCGATGTTTAATTCTTATAATATATTTTTTTGATATAATATTTTCAGGATTAATTTTACTAGTGGCCCTAAACTTTAGGTCATTGTCATTTTATTCTTTAAATTTTAAAAATCCTTACTTTATTCTTTTGAATTTTAAATTTGTCTCATTTAAGCTTTTTAGTAATAATTTCTATTAAAATTAGATGGATAAATTGAGATTAAGTGAGTTCACTGAAACCCATCAATTTTTTGTTAATCGAAGAAGATTGATGCACATTGGATGACTACTGGTCTTATTAATGTTCAAGCAAGTTTGAAGCTTTTTTTTTTTTTCGAATTATTATCATTGATGTCCATGAACTTTAAGGTTATTCTTAATTTGCTTCCTGCATTTTAAAAACTCTCATTTTGTTTTATGAACCCCTTCTTTGTAATTTCTGTTAAAAACATAGAAAAAGAGAATAATGCAGTCACTTAGTCTTTGTGTTTGAATTCTATTAAAAATAAACAGATAAAATCACGTGACTACACTTAACTCTCTCATTTTTTGTCTAATTTTAACATAAATTTTTATAAAAGGGCTTATATGACACGAATTCAAAATTTAAGAGGTAAAGTGTGTGACGACCCTCCTAGGTGGCCGTCACCGTAGCTTAAATTAACTTGTACTTACTAGGGTTTCTTAAAGTTTGCGGAACATTTTTTTTTTAAGAATGAATAATTCCATAACTCGTAACAACAATTTCAAAAGAATGAATCACTAAATTTCTTAAAGCTTTTCTTAATTTCAGTTAAGATAAAACTTTCTAAAAATATCTTTCAAACGGGGCAGCGTTTGAACTCTGGTTTCAAATACTCTTTAAAAGCCTTTCTAAAACTAACCAATTCAATCAGGCCATTTAATTTGACTTCAAAACGGATTTAGTGAGAAATCTTAAATTCAAGTACATTTTAAAGGTCTTTTTAAAATCAATCATTTAAATTATCATGTTTAAAATTTATTATGATGTCTTATCATTGTCTTATTATCTTATCTTATCTTTCTTATCTTTTCTTTCTTTTTTATGGGCCCGAGTGCTCGCTTACCACTTGCGCTCAATCATCGGGACGTGAGGGTTTACAAGGTCCCATATGACACCGTGATTATAACTTGAATGCCTCCCTTGAGTCGGAGGACATTATTATTATTTTTTTTTCTTTTCTCCCTTGCGGAGCTTGAGTTACCTCCCTTGTGGAGGCTGGTACGGCACTTAACTGAAATTATTCTTATAATTTCCTCTTGACTTATTAATGTGTATGCAGTATGACATGGCATCGCATACAATACTTAAAGCATAAAACATGAATATATAATACATGTGTAACTTTTTCTTTAAAATCTATTCATGTTGTAGGCGAGATTCCTACTTACCTGATTTACAGAGTTGGAATCCACTTTTCGCCAAACAGCCTATTCTCTTACTTGCTTACTTCTGAAAATGAACACCTATTGAGAGTGTGAGATTATCTATCGTTTACTATTCTATTTTAGCAACTTATGAAGGAAATCTAACCCTTTACTTAAGGCATGTATTCCTTTCCTTTATTGAAGGATATTTTACTATCAGGATCAATTTATTAAATCCTTAAGATCTTATTTTCCTTAATTGCCCTTAACGTACTTATGTCTAGATTGAAAATCATTTACCCAATCTAGTAACTTATTCTCCATAATTTTTCTCATTGGACTTATTATGATATTAAGGCCCAATTCGGCCTAGAAACTTATTCACGACATTCTAACTCTTAAGCCGTTGAAATTTAAACTCAAACGGAGTCTCTTAAATTAATGTGGGCGTTAGACCCACATCAAACCTTCAAAATTCTACGGACCTATCGTATTGGGCTCGTGGGGAGGTGATTTTATTTTTTAGGGTGATTCTAGTTTAAAACATCACATCATGATTCAAATTTTGAACCAAAACCAAAACTATACAAACGAAACACTGATTTTCAAGAACCATTTTTTACTTTTGCAAATAAACAAAGGTATAAACCAGAATCATAGTTCCGGTTATAGAACCCTCATACCAAACGCAACCTGAAAGTCCTACAGATTCTTTCACTTTATACGAAGCACTTTCGGCTTTTCTTGCTAAATCATTCTTTCTACCTCTCTTTTGTTTTAAATAAATCCATTGCCTAAAAGTAGAGTGAGCATCACTTGTCGTTTGAGTTCAAGTCAAGATGGTTTCCTTTAATATAATCAATCACTTCATCCTCAGTCAGATATTTTATTGACAAACCTCTTGAAACGCAATCCCTACAAAACAAATTTAAGGGTGTTGGGGGAAGAAAAGTTTGTTTGTTGACTCAAAATTTAATAACACATTGGTTTACCTCACTCTTGTTGAGCTTATTTGGTTCGGTATGAGTTCATCCACAATTCTTATGTTATCCTGTCAAGAAAGCACGACGTTAAGTTTGATTCAAGATTATTAAATCAATATTTGAACAATAATATTGAACAACTGAAAACTTATATTGGGTCTCATTTGATACCACATTTCGAATTGTTGAACTAATGCAGAATTTTTACTCAAACAAGACCAAGAACATACAAGTTTCAAAAGTCAAAATTAAGACTTAAGAACTTGGTCGGGACAATTGGGTTTACTCCAAAACTTAAACCTTTTTCACACACAAGAAGGTTAAGCAAATCTTCTGGTTTTTAATCAGAAAAGGAAAATTCTTCTAGTCTAGTTATAAAAAATTATATGTGTTGGCAAATTAAGACATCTGATTACCCGGTTCTCATTCAAAATCGGATCATCTGAGAAAATTTTCTCAATATCTTGTCCTTCTCTTCGAGTGCAAACCATACGATACTCACAGCATATGGTCCTGATCTGACTGACAAACATGAGAGGGATTACAAGGTTGTCTAAGGATTTAGCGAAAGCCTAGGATCAAGATCATTAGGGTCTAGAGGAAGGAGTACAACATGAAACCACTTGAATAGCTAATGGCTCAAAATATTCTCCAAGAATCTAAAGAATATCAATAAATATATAGTTCTGTATAAAAACACCTGCTCAGGAATCCAAAATCCAGGAATGGAAAAAGATTGGAGGAGATCGGAACCGTAGACAACCACGACCTTGAGAGATTCTAACAGAGGATGATGAAAAACAAGTTATAACCATGAAGTTGCAAATGAATCACAAATCAAATTAGAACAGAAATGCTCAAATTGATTAACAAAAGAGAACATAAAAGGAAGTACATATATATACATGCAACTTGTCATTGGCAATGGCTTTTTAAAACTAGACGAAGAAAAATGAAAAGCAGAGATGAAATTATGATCATATTCCTACCTCTGGGTATCATATTTCCCTCACATAAGAAACTTTTGACTCTACACAAAACGGTCAGAGTGCGTTGATAGGAACTTTGTCTTGCCTGTAATATGGATTCAAATTTCAAGTAATAACTCAATTTGATACATCAAATAAGTAGTTTTGAAACTAATAAATGGGCACATGATACATCAAAGTTAAGACAAAATTGTAGAAAATGAAGTAGCATACTAATTAAGTTCCTAGAGGATCTGTAAACTCGAGCTTTCCTATGGTTTTAATTTTTATTTTCTGCCTGTTTTTTCTCAGCAACTGAAATTTGGGGGTTAGAGGGTAAGGAAAAAAGAGTAGATTACCTCCCATGGATCAACCATGATGAAGTCGGAACTTCCGCAGGCACACTGACACAATCTTATACGGTGTTCTGCCGATATAAGGCCCTACACCAAGTGACTAGATTGTTAGGCCATCTAAACTCGGCCAAAAAATTAACATAGAACATGTGAGTCTGTGATGATAAGTTTTGGCTGCAATAACTCAGACAAAACTTAAAAATCGCATAATATGAATTGACCATGTGCAGATTTTGAACCTTTAACATGAATTGACCATGTAAAGATTCTGAACCTTTGTTTATCTGCCATTAAAAGAGACGTACCCTCTTCTTGTATGCGTGATTCACTGGCAACATATAACCTCCGATAACACAAAAGCCTTCTGAATTTAGCGGATCTCTTGCCAGCTCTGCACAACAGAAAAACGTACCAAAATATACATTAGATATGTTCCTTGCCTTAAATAGCATAAAACATTCTACTTAAGCTGGATAAGAAAATGGCGTAAATGAAGCACTAATTCAAAATTGTACAAGCAATAGTAAGTCATATGCAAAGATGACCATCTTGGGAATCGTTCTTTCGTGGGTTCGAATCGAAAACTTGAGCTGAGATTTAAATTCTGGTAAGAGAAAAAACTGTAATAAAAAGGTGGAATTGTCAAAAAGAAAAAAAAATGGGGGCATGGTAATGAGGAAAATACCACAGACTCTATGTCAATGTTCGTGAAAACAAAAACACACGAAACTCATATCAATAAAATTTCGGTATTCTACAAAAACATATCTTCTCCAAAGTTGTTTCGAGAACCTATCTTTAATATAATATCCCAAAAAATATCGATCAAATTTCCAATATGTAACAATTTTTTCATATGTATTTTTTTAACTGATTTCTCAAGGAATTCACGATTCTGAAAAGGTAGAAAACTAGTATAAAAGGACTAAAAGCATCAAAATCTCGTTTTTTTCTGCTTCTTCACTACAGTAGCTCGAACCATTTCTGACTTTGACATAAAATTATGCAAACAATAAAAGAAAAAATTCCAAAAATTTTTACATCTAAAGTTCATTGTAACATATATGAAACAAAAGAGTCACTCTGAAAGACTGAAAACAAAAGTCACTCTGAAATTCCTTATTATTAACCACCAGTCACAGAAACTCACCAAAGAGGCGTATATGCATAAAAGTAGGAGGATTGAAACTTCCCGTACCCACTAGAGCTACATATATCTTGTCCCTATAAAATAAAATAAAAAAAAATGTAACATGAAAAACATAGAAAAAGATTGACCTTTCTATTCCAAAACAAACAAACTTGAAACTAGACTTAAGGTGATATGAATTCCTTATGTCAAAATTCAATCTGAACTTATTTCAGAAAAGCCTAAAACTTTCTGTAATCAATGGGAAGCAAAAGGAAAGAAAAAATAAATTAGAAAAAAAAAGAAAGAAATTAAAGTGGAGGAACACTTACCTGGAATCGTGATCAACCAAACCCAGAGCTAATTTATTAACCGGTAAAGGAATATCCATGACACCTGAAAAACAAAAATGAGAAAAAAAACCAACCAAATTAAACAACCCAGAAAAGGGCAAAAAATATAAAAAAAAATAAAAAAATTCATTGTTTAGTAGGAAATAAATCGTTTTGAAAGTTTAGGAGTTTGAGCCCGTCGATAAGCAGATTAGAACGACACTGCCGGAAGTGATGACGAAGCTCTTCTCGCTATTATCTGATTTCGCCGGAGGCCAATAAGACGACGAGAGAGATGAAAGACAAGATAAAGAAACGACACGTACAAAACTAAACGAAACGACACGTCATTTTATTTTATTTTATTTTTTGACCTTTCGGCCAGAGAGTGACCAAACGTCATGTCGTTTCTTCAACATAAAGTAGAAAAAAAACCCAAAAACGTCGCGAATTGCCTTTTTAGTGCGTTGCCGTTCTTCCCTCCCTGTAATCTGTCGTTTTTCCTCCGAAATTTCCAAAATTCAAATTTTAGTTCCGCGCTGAACCATCTCATCTCCAAGTCCAAGGTTCAATCCCAAACCCCTTCTCTCTCTCTCTCTCCCCTCCGTTTCTCTTTCTAGGATTCTGTGGATCCATGGCGGCAGCGGAGAGAGTGAAGATGACGACGATTGAAAAGCTGATGGATGGTTCAGATCTTCGAGAACAAGTCCCGAATCCTCGACCAGGTCGAGCAACAGACTCGTCTCTGCGATCACCACCTCGTCTCCAAACTCCTCATTGACGGAATTGCCCCTCCTCCCTCCATGGCTACTCTCCCCCGACCGGTAATTTCGCACCTCCGCCATTTCTTTCCATTTCAAGTTTCCATCGGTTCGCGCGTTCTGAAGTTCCGCTTGTGGTTAGGGCCAAAAAACTAAGCCTAGGGTTTCAGTTTCAGTTTCAGTTTTAGGTCAAATTTTTGCTCTTGTTGGTGTAATTTAGAGAGAGAAATTGAGATTTTTTCACTTCCCTTCTTTGGTTGCTAAGAGACTAGACAAGCAAAATTGAAACTCGTGTAGTTTTTTCTAGTTTGGTTCGGAGAATAACAATTCTTTTCCCCTTTCAAACTTGGCTAAATGTTGTTTATGCGCCTATTTTTTTCTTTTCTTTTTGTGGCTCAATTAACCATCAGTGTCTTGCATTGAATTGAGTAATAAATCTGTCATTTTTTATTGTTTTTTATTTTATGTGGTTAAAGAACTGACATTAGTCAACAAAATTTTTTGTTCATTATAGAGTTGAATGCTGAACTCAGACTTCATTTCAGAAGTTCGTGTTCCACTCACTTTGCTGATTCGAGTTTGTAATTCGAGTTGAGATGTGATTTTATATGAGAGTTTTTTACTGTAGTAAAAAAGTTAGATGTGATTGTTTCTGAGAATTTTTACTGTAGTAAAATTCAAATTCTAAACTCGAATCGGTGAAGTGAACGGAGTTTTTATCACGCTGATGGCAGGCCCGCAATCCCATTTTCCCAGTCATCACTCTGTGTATCAGAAGCCAACTGCTGAAGCCTAGTACTAATAGGCAGCTGCCAAATAGTTTGTACACAGACAGAAGAAGTCTGTACTGAAAATAAGCCGACAATAGTTTAAGTGGTTGTTCCCGTGGAATTAATGGGTCTGTGGTTCCTTTCCTTTCGGTTGATCAACTTGAAGAAATGGACTCAGTTAAACCTCTTCATACTGCTAATGATATAACGAATCTCTGATTAGATTATGCAGCGATTAAAGAGACCCTCGTCAATAGCAAATTTAACTGGGCTTCAAATACTAAGCCTAGATTTTTGTCAAAATCTTGAGTTTCTCCCTGACAGCATCAACAGTTTAAGCTCTTTACGAAAGCTCAGCATCTCTTGTTGCCGAAGCCTTGAATCATTACCAATTCTTCCCTCTGTATCAGATCTGAAGCCGCAATACTGCACTTCCTTGAAGAAATTTAGTAGTTCAATAACTTCGGTCGAACAAAAATGGGATCATGATTTCTATTATAGCTTCCGTGAATACCCGAGAAATTTTGAATTTTTTGGCTGTGAAATGTTGGATGAGAATGCACACGGAGTTGATCAGGCACTATTTAGAATTCTGCAATGTGCAAATTTATGTTTAAAGTACAGATACGAACCTGATGAAGAATTTATGGTGGGGTATCTACCGGTATGTCTATCTCTTAGTAGCATAAGTTTCTTCATCGCTTAAGCGCTCTAGTTTTGGCAGGATTAAATATTGTGAAAACAATACTGACTTTCTCATCCATGTTGTGTACAGATGTTGCTTAAGATTTGTTGGCCAGGAAATGAACTTCCAAGGTGGTTCAATTATAAGAGTGAGGGATGCACAATATGTATCAACCTTCCAAATCAAGCAGATCAATGGTATAACAACAGCTATTTGGGTCTCGCTTTTTTTGCTATTGTTGAATTCAATGGCTATTCAGGTGACTATTTGAAGATTTATCGTGAGTCCTTTTACACGTTCCCAAATGGAGATTTGTGGAGGCAGGCAAGATTAGTGAATACAAGTTTTTTTTAGTTGTGCATATCATCTTTTTGCGCTTGAGGAAGGTCAGAGTAATCCTCGTAGGTCTTATTGTGTTCAGGTATATTCCTGTCAAGAATTCTGAATGCGTGTTCCTGTTTATGGACAACAGAAGAAAGCCATAAAAGATTTGATGCAAATGGGAATAAGTTCCCTGATCATGATTATCAGCTCATGAAATTTGGTGACTTAGAAAGAAGTCGTGATTTCCTTGAAGAAAGATTTGGAAAAAATATGAAAGGCTTCAGTCGTACTGCTACAGCCTTTTTCTCCTTCCATACTAACAACGAAAAATGTACAAAAATCAAAAAGTGTGGGGCGTACTCTAGAGGTAGAGAGACTTGGTTTCGTAGAGTTTGAATTCAGTGGAAGAACAACTCTTTATTTTGAATCAGAAGATGACGATCAAGAAGATGAGGAAATGTATTCTGAATCAGAATATGAAGAAAATGAGGGAGTTAATAAATCAATGTTAATGATGTTTCTACTTCTGTTGATTGGGCTTGGACCTATTCTGATTGTTGTGGCTAGAGTGTATTCAAGTCTTTTGTGGCCCAAAGTTTAGCTGCAGATGGTGAAGAAGCTATTGGGCATGCTGAATGCTATTTTGGTTGCTCTTTCATATTGGTTAGCTAGTGTGTTTGTATTGAAAAATTGAATTTCATGTTCATAAGATGTTCAACTTTGATGCCTTTTTTTTATTTTTTTTTAATTATGCTTCTTCTTATCATGAGTTGAATAACCATGTGTGGATATTGGGACCCTTTTTTATTGTAATAATGTGTTTCTTCTGCTGATTTTGCCTCCAGTTCTTACTCTGGAAAGTGGAAACAGCCTTTGTTTTCTTTTGTCATTAAGTATAAATAAGTTTGTTTGGCTTGAATTGGAACTCATATGAGAGTTCTAGTAACTTATGATACTTCTTAACGTTGTTCATATATATATGTACACACACACGTCATGTATATGCAAGGAAAATGCGCACTGAGATTTTCAGTAGCCTGGCCTAGAAGCAGCCTCAAGCAAGAGTGAAAATCTAAATACATTAGGCTCAAATTCCTATGCATACAGAGCCCTCTAACTAGGGAATTGTAGCATAATGGAGGAGAGTGTGAATCAAGAGGAATTCAAATTGGATGATGAAGAATGCGAAGAAGCAGGAACAACTCCATATATAAGAAAAGTAGGACTTCAAAAAAAAAAAAAAAAAAAATCACTTTCAGCCTCTCATAGGTAATTCATAAAATTTCTCATTAGTTTCTTTTGCTATGTAATGTTACATATATAGAATTATTGGTGTTTATTTTTAAGCATTTCGGAAATTTGTATTAAATTGGTACTACTCTATTTGTACTAGAATCAGGTTGTTGGACATGAGGTGTATGCGTTTCCTGTGGATGCTGGACTAGGTTGAAATCCATGTTGCGCCTGGTAGGCCTGTAAGTCGGCTGGGTAGGATCGGCATTGGGCCTGAAATTGGGCCGAGCCACAATGTGCGGGCTGAGAAAGATTTGAGCCACAACACTTCTTTAAACCAACAAATCTGTAACCTTTCAGATTACTTCAGATATGCTTGGGGTGACCGGGTTAGTGACGTTGGGGTTCTTGCAATTAAGCCCATTATCATTGGCGAGAGAAAACGTTGGGATTGGGCTTGTGTTGTGTGTGTCTAAAAATAGCCGTGGTCAAAGAAAACGTTGGAATTGGGCCAAAAAAAACATTAGATTTAGGGCTGATATCTTTCTCTGTACTGATAAATTCGGCTGGGTAATTTGCCTTCGGGCTGAATTTATCTTTTTTTTTTTGGTATAAAAAATTCGTGCGGAGGGTTTGACGTAGGATGAGCTTGCTAATAGGTGCCAGCATAGTTAGGATATACTAGCAAACTTTGATTTGTAGGGTATTTAGTATAAAGATTCGTGTTATGGTTCGAATCATGATTCGTGGCTCATTATAATATTTTTTCTCACAAAATACATGTAAATCGAGAATAATTTTGAATAATAGTTCTAAATCCGTAAAATATTCTCTCTTATAATTTACTTAAAAAAAAAAAAAAAAGAAAGAAAGAAGAAAAAAGGTAAGCGGCCGGCCTCTAACAAGGACTTGAATAGCCATATGTTGGGTGGGTGGGTATGTGTTCGCTACATGTTTATCCTGTGTTGAAACGCTACAGAAATGGATTTGAAGTGTGTGCGTATTTGTTTTGGATTTTAATTCTTGTAATGAATCTTTTGTGAGATTACCTGCATTTTGAAACCATTTGGATCAGTTTGTACACAAATTAGTAGGGGTAAAAGTATGAACTTTCCCTAAAAAAACAGGCCAAGGAGAAAATTTGTAATATGAATGATATAAAATCAAACCTAAAGAAACTTTTGTAAATCAAGATACTAAAAGGATATCTTTCAAAAATCAAAATCAACAAGAAAATTGTTAATTCATTAGTTGGTACCGAAAAAAAAATTAATTAATTAGTTGGACAAAGTGGATCCATATTCTCTGCTATGTGGTCATAATAGAAACTACAACGTTTCTTAGTTTCTCTTGCTCTTTTTAGAGTTGTTCTTTACTTCTTTTGGGCATTTGTTTGCCATCCGGTAGGATCTCAGTGTGCGTTTAATTGGTAGATTTGTGTCATAGTTCAGATCATAATTCGTGGCTCGCTACA